AAGAGGGAGATGGCTGTCAGGGTGGGGGCGCAGCGGGACCTGGTGCCCGAGGGTGTGGCTGCAGGTGGAGGGTGCACCCCTGAGAAGTGACTTGAGGTGAAGCCGAGGCCGGCCCACCACCAGGGAGATTGAACAGGAAGGGCCTGGGACCAGGAAGGAGCTGAGACAGAGACGGCTCTCATAGCGGGAGTCCTCGTGACCCCTGCTGAGGCTGCTACAGGGCCTCGAGGGTGTGGAGGTGGGGCGCTGTGGGCCCCTGGGGCTCAGCTCCCGCCTGCGCAAGGTCGGGGGCGGGGCCGGCAGCTCTGTCCGTCCCGTGTGTTGCAGTGACCTGAGGGTGGACAGCCAGAAGCAGAGGCATCCGTCCGGCGGCGTTTCCGTGTCTTCCGAGATGGTTTTCCAGTTGGAAGGCGTCGAGCTGGGGGCGGATGGAAAGGTAGGAGCAGACGCCCAAACAGGCCGGTCGCCTTGTGGGGGCCTGGTGACGATGGGAGGTTGGGGCCCCCGAGGCAGGGAGGAGCTCCGGCTGCAGATCCCAGATGAGGGGCGGGGCGTTCTGGAACCTGCAAGCGGGGAGCAGCGTCAGCCCTGGGCGGCGGGAGCTGCAGCGGTCAGGAGGGACCTGGCTGGACCTCTGGTCCTGGACGGGGCGGCGGGGCTAAGCCCGATGCACTGCCTGCCAGGTTGTGTCTTACGCCAAGTTCCTGTACCCCACCAACGCCCTGGTCACGCTCAAGCCGGACAGCCACGGCCCGCCACCTCAGCCCCGGCCCAGTGCCCCCCGCGCTCTGCTGGGGCCCAGATGCAAGCCCATCCCGCCCAGGGCAGCGCCAGCTGGCTCGGAACTAGGTAGCCCAAGGGCCCTGACTGGGAGCAGGGCAGGTGCCCCGGTGCATCCCATCCAAGCCCACAGTCCTCAGCCCAAGCCTGGGGAGCGGGTCCTCCGCAGCCTCTTAGGAGGGGGGCCCCCAGAGCGCACGCCCTGTGCTGCCCCTGAGCCCAGCCGCAGAGAACCTGCACCCACCGATGGCTCTGGGCGGGGGCCCCTCCTCATCAGGACGTCCTCCCCGACCCCGGCCCCCGAGGAGGGGGACCACACCTGGAGCCCCTGACCCCGCTCTCCTTGTCCCACGATGATGCCCTCAGCACAGCTGCTGCCTGGCACTAGGCTGGGGTTGGCCAAGCCACTCACCGGGGCTTGTGGTGGGTCAGGGCTGCCCTCTGCTCGCAGGGGCCGACGCGGGGGATGCCCTGGAGTACAACCCCGACCTCCTGGATGACCCTCAGTGGCCCTGCGGCAAGCACAAGCGCGTCCTCATCTTCGCGTCCTACATGGTAGGGGCGCCGCCCAGGGCTGGGCTGTGGGCCGGCACCGGGGACGGGGGCAGCTACGCGCCCTGGGCCCAGCCTCACCCACGTCTTGGCACTGTTCTCGCGGGCCCGGGGCCTCACGGTTGCAGGCCCAGGTGGCGTGCAGACGCCCCTGGGGCTGCATGGGGACGGTCCTTATCCATCGCAGACCACAGTGATAGAGTACGTGAAGCCCTCCGACCTCAAGAAGGACATGAATGAGACCTTCAGGGAGAAGTTCCCGCACATCAAGCTGACGCTGAGCAAAATCAGGAGGTGAGGAGGGCCGAGGAGGCATCCTCAAGCCCGCTGCCCGACAGGGCCTTTCGCATGCTGCCGCCAGGCCGGGTCTACGTAGATTCCTGAGCTTGAGAAAGGGACGCGCCCCTCCTCAGCCCCCTCCCGCCATCCAGCCAGGCCAGTGCCAGCAGCTCCCCTGCCGCCTCCTTGGTCAGGTGCCCTCGGTGCTTCTCATACCTGCCCACACCTGCAGGGCTCCTCCTCACTGGTGCCCACAGCCCCTGAGCCGGGCCCTGTGACCGTCCCCACTTGATAGATGACGAGGTTGAGGCCCCACAGCTAGAGGTCCAGACTCTGCCTCAGCACGGCCGCACCTCAGGGCCTTTGCACCGACCTTCCCTCCCCACACGGCCCCCTCACTGCCACAGGAGCACGGGGACTCTGTCCTCCGGGGGGTCCCCTTGAGGACAGTTGGGTGCCGCGGGCCCAGCCGAGGGCCAAGTGGAGACCAAGACCAGCCTGCTGCCCGCCCACCAAGACGTGGGCCCTAGCGCCGGGCCACAGCCTCTGGGAGGAAATGGCGCTTTTCTGGTGGCCCAAAGGCACACCCCTCAAGCAGGGACGTGGGCGCTTCCTGGCCCCAAAGCCCTTGGCTCCCGTGTAAACCCGCAGTTTGAAACGCGAGATGTGGAACCTGTCTGAGGAGTGCGGTCTGGAGCCCGTGACGGTGTCCATGGCCTATGTGTACTTCGAGAAGCTGGTCCTGCAGGGCAAGGTCAACAAGCAGAACCGCAAGCTGTGCGCGGGTGCCTGCGTGCTGCTGGCCGCCAAGATCAGCAGCGACCTCCGCAAGAACGACGTGAAGCAGCTCATCGATGTGAGTATGCACGTCCCTATCCCCCCGCTCCCGGCTGCGGGAGGCGGGACCACCCCCGACGCCCAGACCCAGCCACCTGGCCGGGAACCGGAGGAGGGGCCGCAGCTCAACCCCTCTCTCTTCTTCAACACAGAAGTTAGAAGAAAAGTTTCGGTTCAACAGACGGGATCTGATTGGGTTTGAGTTCACGGTGCTCGTGGCCCTGGAACTTGCTCTCTACCTTCCCGAGAACCAGGTGTTACCTCATTACCGACGCCTCACGCAGCAGTTCTAGCGTGGCCCGGCCCCTGTGGGCGCTCCTGGCACGTCGTGGGCCGGCGGGCGCATTTCCAGGCACTGGGTGTGGACGCGCGGCCCTCGCCGGCTGGTGCCACCGCTCCCCCACGCCCTGGCTTCCCTGGAGGGACATGGCTTCCATTCCAAAGCACACCACACCACCGCGGTATTTCGGAGAGCCCTGCTTGCGTTACTCCGTGAACAAAATGTGGGGCTTTGTTGTTTCTTTTTTTCCTGTGCCTGGTCTGGCACCAGGACTTAATGATGCGCGGTGGTGGATCCTGACTTCACAGCTTTTCTCCTCTTCGCATCACCCAGCCTTCTGCTACCATCGTAGCCACTGCACTAGTGTCTCGTGGAGATCTGGGTCTCCAGACCTCACTGCACGCGCTGGATTGCCAGCGTTAACCTGTTGGGCATTAATCTCAGCTGTTTGGGGTTTTCGGACGTGGAGAGCGCACTGTGGAATCCCCACTCCCCCCCTCGGCCCGGCTCCTTCCCAGCCCAGCACAGCCCCCTCGGGGGGTGTGCACCCACCTACCCACATCCACACACACAGCTCTGGCGTCAGCCTAAGCCAAGGATAGCAGACCCCTGGTTGGTTTTAGTCTCATTTTTTTACTCTCAGACTTCTGTTCTTCCAAGGTCACATCACTGTGAAGTCCCGACGCCCTGTTGGGGGTCACACACCCCAGCAGGCCTCTGGGCACAGAACTAGCCCATCCCACGCAAGGATCCGTCTCACCGGGAAGACCCCCCCCTTGCCCACGACACTGGGGACCTTCAGGATGACTGGATTGCTGGTTCTTGATCTTCCTACGCAATATTGTGGAGAAACCGTGTTTACTGTCGTGTAGGATTTGGTTCTTTGGGTCTTTTTTCCTGAGGGAACAGAAACTGGTTAAACGGCGTGTGCTGAAGTTGTGACTTGAACCACACCTGAGCCTCCAGCGGGGAGGAGACTGACCACTTCACAGCCCTGCCTCCCTGCAAGGGTCGGGCCAGCGTTCTTCCTCCTGGCAGGAAGTGGGAGCCGCCTGGGCCAGAGGAGCCGCCACACCAAGCCAACCCCAAAGGCCGGTCGTTGTCCTGGGCAGGTGTGTGCCCGGCACGCCAGCTTCTCTACGCTACACGTGGCCCAGTTCATCCACTTGCTGCCCCACCAGAAACACTGAAGACCGCGGGCTGGAGCTTCTCCTTCACGGGTCAGCTGCTCTCAGAAAGGACCGTGTTGGCTGTCCCATAAGCCTGTCACTGGAGGGGCTCCGGGACAGTCCCACCCTGCATCCTACGCGTGTGCACTGGTGCTTTTGCAGAACAGAGGCCAGCCCTCATCAGAGCGCTCAACCACCAGCAACTTGAGACCCCAGCAGGGGTGCAGGACGGCGGCTCCCGCCCTGCTGGCTGCTGTTCCTGCTTCCTCAGTCAGTCGCTTGGGCTAAGGGAGGAGAGGGGGACAACTGCAGGATGGAGCGTGAAGCCCGAGTCTGTATTCTGACCTTATTTATTGAGGAGTGCCTCTTCCCCGTCTTCCCCAAGATGGCTCCCAAACCTGACGTGCACCAAGGAGGGCTTGAAGGATGAAGCTGCTAGGCCCCAGGCAACTCTTCTGCAAGGTGACCTGTCCAGCCAACACAGCGTCTCAAGGACACTCCTGTTACAGGCACTGCAGGGGACCGACTTACAAAATGTACGTCCTGGTTTACAATTCAGCCTTGAGGAACACATCTTCCTGGAAATGTCTATACAGATGTCAGAATGGCTGATACAGTAACTTTACCTGTTCATGTAGTGAGAATGTCATTCACCAAACCCGTCTGTAAGCTTCCCTTGAGTGCACTGCGTCCTTTTTAATGTCAACAGCTGCCACTGTGTGGTACTCAAGTGAAGCCAGTATTTAAGGCATTAAACTCCAGCCCAAAATGTCACCGCCTAGAACCAGCCCAAACATCTGTATCCAAGGGCCTGGGGCCACGCCCTCAGTGCCTAGGAGGCGCTGTGGACTTAAATGAGCGCTTAAGTGGCCATCTGACCTCACTGTCTAGTCAAGTGTCATGGATCTGTTTGCAAAAAGTCATGTATTTGTGCTTTAAGTAAAATTTGGTTTTGCAATGTGTCATAGGCTGCCCTTCAGCCGGCCGGCCCCTTCCAATCACAGCAAAACGCCAGCCCGGACCCTCCAGAGCACAGAGGAGCCCTCCCCCCTCGCCCCCCCCCCCCCCCCCCCCCGCCCAAAGCACAGAAGTGAAACAACAGATAGGTTTTCACTCTTTATTTATAACACACGTTCCACATCCAGGATCCTCTCCAGTCAGAAGTTCCTGGAACAAAAGGAAGAACTTTAAAACCTGGTCTCCAAAGACATCCTGGGCCTCTGTGCCCAAACCCCAGTCCTCTTACTTTGAGACAATGCCGTCAGCCTTGGCCAGTCGGAGAATGGAGTCATCTGACTCGCCCTAGGGGAGAACGCACATTGGGACCAGGCACCCTGCTGGCCAGAGGTCCAGCCACACTGCCGTCCAAACCGACCAAGGGTAGACACGCTAACATCAGGCAGACCCCTGACGGTACAGGGGTCAGACCCCTGGGGCGGGAAGGAGCTGTGATAACTGGGAAGCTCCAAGGTCATGGCCTGCCTGTTTTCTCAGGGTGGGCCCCGAGCACCCTTTTCCACCCCCAGGAAGCGGCTGGCAGCCAGCCCAGTCCAGTGCGGCACGCTGCAGTCTCTTCTGCCAACGAACCTGCTCAGGGTGGGAGCAGGGAGGGAGACGCCACTCCGGTTCAAAGGCCCGCCGAGCGAGGCCGGGGATCACTCACCATCCTGCGAATGGCCCCGCAGATGGCATAGGTTTTAAACTGGCCGTTGAACCTGCCTGTCACCTTGTCAACCTATGAACCGAGAATCGAGAATGGGGGTCACAAAGAGGTGCACCCAAACGCCTTCGGGTCTAAACCTGGGGTTTGGAAATCGACGTGAGGCCCGCCCAGACCTCGCCCCTCCCCAGGGGACAAGCCGTCCCGCCGCCCGGCTCACCTCGGCCACGTTCATCTGGATGGACGCGTGGTCCTTGGCGCCTATGATGCGGTTGCTGGCAGAGCTGCGGGGGGAGCGCAGTGAGCGGGGACGGGGCTTGGCGAGCGAGGGGCAGGGAGAGGGCTCGGCGGCCGGTGGCGGCGGCGGGGGATGCAGGGACCGGGTCGGAAGATGCTCACCATTTCCGCGGCACGTACAGGTCCACGAACTCGCCGGCGTCGTTCTGCATGTTGAGGGAGCGTCTGTGGAGCCCCCCGCAGCGCCGTGAGGACGGGCCGTGTCCGCGCGCTCGGGTCCGTCCCCGCCCCGCACCGACCCGGGCTCCGGGCCGCCACCCCGCCCAGGCCCCGACCCACGCACGCCCGAGTCCGTCCCCGCCCCGCACCGACCCGCCCCAGGCCCCCGCGCCGCCACCCAGCCCGTACCCCGGCCCCGACCCCGACCGCGGCCGCGAGACCTACCTGGTGGCACCACAACGAGCGCGAGTGCAGAGAGGAAGGGCCTTCTCCCCCGGCAGTGCTATTAGCGGGTGGGGCGGGGCCTTGGCGAGTACTTCCGGGTCCCGCACGCCCCCGCGACTCTACGCAGAGAGCAAGGCCGGCCGCTCTGACGCACTTCTGCTTCCGGCGGGTGAGAGCCTCCTGACGTCTGGCGACCGCAAGGGGGCCGAGGCCGCGCCTCGAGGGCGAGTCGCCGTGCTGGGCGGGTGGCCGGCGCGGACTCGCGAGGGCGCCCGCGGGCGGGTCCCCGCAGCGGTGGGCTGCGCCCAGGGCGGGCGCTTCCCGTCGCCGGGACCGCCCGGTGCCCGCGGCCGCTCAGTCAGGACCTGCGGACCCGGGGGGCGAGGGCGGGGGCCGGGGGCCCTGGAACGGGCCGCGCTCGTCAGCACGTGAGAGCTGCGGACCGGAGCGCTTACCCCGGAGACAAGCCGGGCATCACGAACGTGGACGCAGGAGGGGCGCCGTTGGTTCTAAGAGCGAAGAGTGGGGAGAGCCCCTGGGGTCTTGAGGGAGGAGCTGCAGGGCTGGGGTGGGGGGCGCCCTCCCAGGCCGTGGAAGACAACCCCTCGGGAAACCAGTGCCTGAGCGGGGAAGGAGCTCGGCCAAGCCTCGTGGCAGAACCAGGTCGAGCCCCCCCAGCCCTTCCCTCGCCCTGCACCATCCGGTCCCTGCCCGGGACCCCTCCCCCCACATCACGCCCACTCCATCCTCCACGGAGCAGTCTCTCCTGGTGCTAAGGGTCCGTTAAGGAAGAAAATAGAAAAACTCCAGCCTGCAGAGCTGACTTCCCAGGGTCCCCCGCCCTGCGTTCCTGGGGGCGTGCCCTGCAGCCTCGACTGAAACATCCTCCTGGGCTTCATCTCGCGGAGGAGAGGGAAGGCCCCTCGTGGGTGGACTCCAGACCCTGCGCACTTGGCCTCCGCCTGCTGCCCGGGCTGAGCCTGGCCGTGGACTCTCCGAAGTCCAAATGCCCCTTTGCTTGACACGCCCTCCCCATCCTCCCAGTCTGGGCTCCCAGCTCACTTCTCAGGGCTGTGTCGGCTCACCCTGTGGTAACTTGCAAATGCTCCCCATCAGCTTGGCCAAACGGTGCCCCATTTGAGTCACTGCCAACTTCTGTGCGGCTCTGGGAGGGTTTAACATCTGGGCCTGGTGGGGGCCGAGGCCACCAGTTCCCTCGTACCCGGAAACCAGTGTTCGTGCGGGCAGTGTGTCTGCTGTTGCTTCCGCTGGGCGCCAGCAGCTGGGCATCAGGAGTGAGTCACCAAGGCCAGCGCCCTGTAGGAAGGTCACACTCCATGTTCATGCCAGCCGTGAGAGGTGTGTGCTTTTTCCAGGACCCCCAGCACGTGCACAGACATTACGTGTTTATGTTTGTGGTTGTGATACCGACCAGGGTTCTTGGCCTTCCCTAATCAATAGAAATTGATAAGAAGCCAGACAAGAAATTCAGGCAAGGCTTTATCGGGGCTCCTGCTGCAGCAGGGGGGAGCGGAAACATGTAACAGGTTCCCTTGCTAGCTCCCCAGGGGAGTCGAGCTGGTTTCTTATATGGGGTGAGGATAGGGGCAGGTCCAGGGCTCGGGCCAGAGGGGTGGCTTAGGTGGTCTGCCCACCCCTTAGGTGGTGGGGTGTGCAGGGTGCATGCGCAGGACCCTGCTTTTGCTCCATGTACCCTGTTCTTGCTCCCAGCTCTTTAAAAGTGGCAGCTGGGTTTTTGGTCTTTTTGTATCTTTCTGTCCATAGTTTGCCTCCAGTGTGCATGTATGTTGCTATTTTTCATCCCATACAGTTTTTTTGTACAATGTTGTGTAGCTCAAGGAGACATTTGTCCAGGTGCAAGCCCTGCAGCAAAGGGTCCTAGGTGCCAGTCTGTCTCATTTGGGGGTCTGCACAGCTGGCCTGCCTGTCTGTGTCAGTGTGTGGGTCAGTCCAGCTAGGCCTGGTCATCAAGAGATTGTCTCTGGGGCTTCCCTGGTGGCGCAGTGGTTGGGGGTCCGCCTGCCGGTGCAGGGGATGCGGGTTCGTGCCCCGGTCCGGGAGGATCCCGCATGTCGTGGAGCGGCTGGGCCCGTGAGCCATGGCCGCTGGGCCTGCACGTCCGGAGCCTGTGCACCGCGGCACGGGGTCCACAACAGTGAGAGGCCTGCGTACTGCAAAAAAAAAAAAAAAAAAAAAAAAACAGATTGTCTCTGTAGCTGAGAGGCAGGAGACGGAGACAGCTAGAGCCCCGGAGCACCAAAAAGGTGATGAGGACCGTTTAAGAAGGAAATGACTGTCTTTTCAACAAGTGTGCTGGGAAAACTGGGTCTCCACATGCAAAAGAATGAAGCCGGACCCTTACCTCACACCAATTGCAAAAATTAACTCAAAATGGATCAAGTACATAAACACAATACGTAAAACTATAAAACTCTTAGAAGAAAACATAGGACACAACCTTCATGATACTGGGTTTGGCAATGATTTCTTGCATATGAGACCAAAGGCACGGGCAGCAGCAACAACAACCAAAAAAAATTGGACTTCATGAAAAATTAAAGTTGTGCATCAAAAAGACACCATTGGGGGACTTCCCTGGTGGCACAGTGGTTAAGAATCTGCCTGCCAATGCAGGGGACACGGGTTCGAGCCCTGGTCCGCGAAGATCCCACATGCCATGGAGCAGCTAAGCCCATGAGCAGCAACTACTGAAGCCCACGTGCCACAACTACTGAAGCCCGTGTGCCTAGAGCCCACGCTCCTCAACAAGAGAAGCCACCACAGTGAGAATCCCACACACCATAACAAAGAGTAGACCCCGCTCACCACAACTAGAGAAAAGCCCGTGCACAGCAACAAAGACCCAGTGCAGCCAAAAATAAATAAATTCATTAAAAAAAAAAGAGAGAGATGCCATCAGGACTTCCCTGGCGGTCCAGTGGTTAAGACTCTGCACTTCCAATGCAGGGGGTACAGGTTTGGGGAACTAAGATCCCACGTGCCTCGTGGCATGGCCCCCCAAAATTTTTTTAAATAAAATTTTCTTAAAAAGACACCATCAACAGAGTAAAAAGGCAACCCAAAGATGGGAGAAAATATTTGCAAATCATACATCTGATAAGGGATTAATATTAAGAATATAGAGAGAACTCCTAAAACTAATCAACAACAACCACCGAATTCAAAAATGGGCAAAGGGTCCCTGGTGGCGCAGTGGTTGAGAGTCCGCCTGCCGATGCTGCCGATACAGGGGACGCGGGTTTGTGCCCCGGTCCGGGAAGATCCCACATGCCGCAGAGCGGCTGGGCCCGTGAGCCGTGGCCGCTGAGCCTGGGCGTCCGGAGCCTGTGCTCCGCAACGGGAGAGGCCACAACAGTGAGAGGCCCGCGTGCCGCAAAAAAAAAACCCCAAACATTTAAGACTATAGGTCACGCACGCATGCACACACATGGGCACACACACAAGACATCACAGTCTCATCTTCCCCGAGGTGGGATCCCAAGGCCAAGATGTTCAAAAGGAAGCCCTGTGACCCCACCCTCAGGCCCGTGAAATCTGGATGAGCCCACCCCACCTTTAAGAAACCCTGCTGTCTGAAGTCTCAGGTCCCACAGACAGAGGAGCCAGTGGTCCCTGAAGGGAGCCTACGTGGGCCTTCCATCAGCAGGGCCTCCTGGCATCTGAAGTGGCCGAGGGCAGCTACTCAGGCTGGAGGCCGACAGAGGTCAGAAACCTGGGGAGAGGTGTCGCCACATCCCACTTGTACTCTCCCCAGCAGCCACTACGGGGCGCCCAAGAGCTGCACCTGACCCTGCAGGCAGCCCTGCGAGGGGCCCAAGGGCAGAGGCTCACCTGTCCACTCTCTGCCCACTTTCCTGCCGGCTGAAGGGGGCTGGCCACCTCCCTCAGGCCCCTGGCCCCTTGCCCCTTGCCCGAGGGATGACTTGTTTACTGAGCTTCCTGTGGGGTCTCCAGGTTGGAAAAGGGCCAGAGGCTGGGTGGGATGAAGGGATTGGGGATGGGAGGACCTGGCACTTGAAGACACTGTCCTGAGCCCTTTTTGCAGCTCCCGGGGCAGCTCCCAGGGGCTCAGAGAAGCGGCTCTTCAGCAGGATGGTCCCCATCAGGATCCCCGAGCACTTCCAGGTCTACAGAGCATACACCTGTTACTGCCCGCTGCACCCCCAAGTGCTCTAGATCGCCCTGGCTTCCAGTTCCCATCAGTATGGCAGGCTGACTTTGCACCCTCCCTCTGCCTCGTAGCTGTATGACAGGTAGCTTAGCTGTCTCCTCCTCCTCCTGGCTTTAAAGTAGGGACAGCGGTAAGAGCACCACACTGGTGGGTTAACACATAGGCGGTGCTCAGAGTGGATGTGGCATTCAGGAGGCCCTCAGCATCCCCATCGTCACGATCAACATCACTGCCACCTTCTTCATCACCGCTATCACCATCATTATTATGCTGTGACCCCAGGTCCCACGGCTATAGATTTGAACCCTGGGCTGACGACTCCAGCAGCTGCACTGTCACCACCCCAGTGTCACACGGGTCCTCACTCAGGCCGCCCAGCTGGGTGACAGCGGCTATAGTGGTGTTGGATGGTGTCCGTGTGCAGCATCCACTGCCCATCCCCCAGCACCATCCTGGGAGCCCACCTCACAGACAGGTAAGCGAGGCTCTCAGCCTTCCTGGGGCGCCTCCCTCCTCCTCCCAGAGTGGCTGCTTCTGGGCCGGGTGGGGCCAGGTCAGCCTGAAATGTATTGTGTGTAGAAGGGAACCAGCCCCAAAACCAGGAAGCCCTCCTTCCGGGCCTGGGTGCGGGCCAGAGTGAGCTGCAGCTCAGGGCCAAGGGACAGGCTTCTCCCTGTGCAGACCCGGCCAGGAGCTGTGACCCCTGGCCCTTCCTGCCTGCCCTCTTCTCTCAGGAGAAGGCCCAGCTCACGACAGAGTTCCTGCCTCAGAGGGGCTCCCAGGGGCCGAGGAGCATGCAGGCTCCCACCCAGCAGGTCCCGGTGCCACCGCCCCCAGCCGTGATTCCAGACCATCCTCTGGCCTCAGGGAGATAGGCAGATGCGGGCCCTCTCCAGTCTCCGTGAGGCTCAAGGGAGG